ACCAAGAAAAAGAGCCCCAATCACTAACCCAAGTTGAACCAGAACAACACATGCCAACACTCAATACCACTAAAAAGCCCCGTGGGGAGTTATTCGGGCAGCCATAAATACCTCAACACTCCTCATATGTAGGACCAAACGTTGTCTAAAGAGGTTCACAAGGCGAAAAGAGAGCCCAATCGCTGAGAAACCTGTACAAATTTTAGTCCCGCAAGCTGAACCTACTTTAGACTCAGAACCGAGCCCTTCCCTGTTGAAAAGGCACACCATGAGCAACATAATAGCATATGAGTGAATGAAAGTAGGCACAGGATGACTCTACACCTTTTCCTTGCGTTGCATTGCCTGGATACCACGTTTTAATAAATGAAAACAATATCATGAGTGAAAGGTAGTTGTGATAGATTAACTCCCCTCATAGAAGTGTTTAAAAAAATAAATTAATTAAGTGTTAAGGAAATAAGAGTAATGAACTTGTGTTGAAACTTGAAAACATTCTATGGCATAATAATAGATTTTCTTTAGAATTTTTCTAATTTGACTAAGCATAGATTGGATACAGTCATGCACACACGCTTGAAAAAGACCTTGCGTTTTAATAAATGGCAGCAATAGCATATGAGTGAATGAAAGTAGTCACGGGATGACTCTACACCTCTGCCTTGCGTTACATTGCCTGGATACCACGTTATAATAAATGGCAACAATAACATGAGTGAAAGGTAGTTATGATAGGTTGACTCCCCTCGTAGCAGTGTTTAAAAAAATTAAATTAATTAAGTGTTAAGGAAATGAGAGTAATGAACTTGTGCTGAAACATGAAAACATGCTATGACATAATAGTATACTTTCTTTAGAATTTTTCTAACTTGACTAAGCATAGATTGGATACAGTCATGCACACACACTTGCAAAATACCTTGTGTCCTAGGGTAGTATCCTTGAAATATTCACTTGTCTAACGTGTTGATGGAGATGCATTTCTGAGGATTGAAACTCTATTACACCTGGTTGTCCTAAAACTGAACTTTGCCATGACATTTTTCTTTTGCTAACTACTGTCCATTGCTTGATGACAATCAATAATTTAAGTTTTAGGGTGTGATAGCTCCGTAAAAAGGCTATATTTAAGGCCTTTTCACTTAAGTTATTGGTTGTCTTAAGGTGCATGTAGGTTCATTTAGATGCATATAGGAGCATATAACTGCATTTGGTGGTTTGGATTTGTCGTGGTATTTTAATTTGTAAATGGTGTTATTTTACGGGGAAGGTTGTGCTTTGTTGGTGATGTGCAGGTCGATGAAGCAGAGGGTATTTATTGAGAATTACCGTAACATTCTTGTATGGTGAGCAAGGAGAATTACCGACGCAAATTGGGACAACTCTTGTATACAGAAAAAGACAAAAATGAAGAAGATATTTTCATAGAAATTGTCAGCTGTCCAACACTCACGTGTTTTCTGCTGCTAACCACCTTGGAGGGGACCACTACTACCTTTGTACCGTTATTCACTTGAAGAGAATGTACCTTAGAGTACTATGGAATTTTTTCACTAAAACCTAAGACATTCCCCTAGTATAAATAGAAAAGGTGGCCATATGATTAAGGAGATGATTCTTGGAGAGAAATAATGAGCTAAGCAAGGTGGCTAGAAAGCTTCCAACTTTCTTTCCCCTTTCATATTTTCAAGGGTTTCCTCTATAGTCAAGCTCAAGGGAGTGGTGAGCTAGTCGTCCGAGATGAGCTAGCTCGATAATGTGCCGTTGTGGTGGTCTGAGGAGCAACCGACATCGTGCTTTGGGAGTGTCCTCCACCCTTATGCTTTATTTTCCTTTTGATTTATTGGGTTGTATAGTTTGGAATATTTTCATGGATATTCTGAACCCCACCATGAACTAAACCTTATATGGTGTGGGTTTTTATGGATGATTGAGTACTTACTTTAATGAATAATTTGAGTTTTTATGTTTACTTATTTGCTTTACTCATTTTGCTAGATTACTTAAGATTATAGGAGGCACGAGAGTGTTTATTTCTTAATTATATTGTTTAATGTTCGAGAGAAACTAGGTTAAAGATCCTTAGTGTTCGAGAGAAACTAATGAATGATCTACGTGAGCAATGGGTTTTAGCTGCTAACTAGAACCTAATCCACCTTAGAGATAATAATAGGATTTCAACGACTAAAAGGAGTAGTGCTTATTCGATAGGTTCAATATTACTATTCATGTCGAGAGGTATTACCGTGGCATTTGCATCTGTTAGGTTCTTTGACTTGAGAGAGCATAGGGACACTCTTAGTAAACTTTATTGAGCGAATATACCATAAAAGCTTGAATCATTATGAGGGGTATGGCTTAGGATTCCTTAATAACTCCACTATTCATTCCTATAGTAGTTTTTTGTGTGAGGATTATCAAGTCTGCTTACTTATTTCCGAATTCTCCGCTCGTTTTGGATTGACGTTTTCAGTTGTTTACATTTCAAGTACATCTTGATTTTCCACGACATTTCCATCTGTCATATTTCCATCACATCTCATTTTGCCATCACATTTCCATAATACCATTGACATCCACTCTATTTTGCCACTACACTCTCACTTGTAAATATCATCACTATTTATACTTAGATAATTTAGTATTCATTCTTTAACTTAACTTGCAATTTTCTACAATCCTCGTGGGAACGATACTCACTCACTCTTTATTACTTGTGCGATTGTGTATACTTGCACATAATTTGCGTCTAATTTATAATACTCATAGTACGCAATAGTAAGTCTAGAAGTGGAGATCATTAGAGTATGAGCTGAACGAGCTCCATCCATATTAGACATTCCAATATCTCCCTAATGTATTTATGCTGACTCAATAACAAAACACCATCTCATCTATCAACTTCAAGCCCAAGAAAAAAACTTAACTCTCTAAGATCTTTCAAAGAAAACTGTTGGCCAAATAAGGAAATTACCTCCTTAATCAAGTCCGTAGAGTTTCCCATAACCACAATATCATTAACATGGACCAACATATACACACATTAAACTCCATCACGTCGAACAAACTCTGTTTGTGTTCCAATAAACCCAATACAAAGCAAAAATGATCGATGCTTAGAATACCAATTCTTCGGAGCTTGCTTCAACCCGTAAAGATCTTTTTCACTTGCGCTGGTAGTAGGAGCATTGCAAATCTCTTTCACTTGTGAAATATAGGATCACATAAAGGAATCACCTTTTCACACTAGCTTCAACTTATAATGGAGATTCATGATCATGGTAGGGAATTTGCTCGCAAAAAATGTCGTAATCTTGGACCAAATCTCAGCTGTCGTCTCAGCTCCGACAAGATGAAGGGGGAAACAATGAACTAACGGTCGACAAGAGCTAGGAAGTTAGAGCACTATCCTGAGCAACGAACACCTCATGCTTATCGTTACCAACCACAGAGCCATCTTCAAGAGTCATTGTCGCATTCGACGGTCGAACATCTCCTTTGAAAAGCTTATATAACCGGTGACTTCTCATAGCGAGAAATATTTAGTATTTCTACAGAAATAGTTAAACTCGTCTATGGTAACACTCACCCTTTTGTTGGTGAACATTGTGTCACGGTTGAGCCCCACAGACCTTGAACCACCGCGAGTACCACCGGACAGAGGAGAAAAAGACAACGATATTAGAAAGAAAAAGGAATCCCAGGAGCCCCTCTGAAACTGATACCATGTTAAAAATAATGTGAAAAGTAGTATCTTTTTATTAAGGCATTGCTAATACAATTTATATGAAAGACCAAACCCTTAATAAAATGCAAACTAAGCCAGCTCATGTAATTAACCCATAACAAAATGATAACCACTCCATACGTAAGCAATCACACTTTCTTAATATATGTTAACACCATCACTAATTTTTTAAAAGAAAATGATGATTTTAAAATATATGAATATTCATGTGATCATTTTATAACTTTTGATAGTCGGGGATTCAACAAAGTAGCACTCTATAGTCAAAATAGCTTTTCATAATTTTTAATAATCGAGAGACTCATCAAAATAATATTATATAATGAGAGAACCATTTATGTACCATACTCAAAAATATAATTATAATATGATATTAATTTTTTTTAAATATGAACATATGTACATTAGAAATATTTATAATTAGATCATATATACTAAATGCCAATCGGTCCCAGACTTCCAATTGCCTAGTTAGATCCACCGATTTTGCTGAATTTTGGAACAATATTTGAAGTGAACATTGCCGTTCATCGTCAACTGGGTGAAAGTATGAACCGCAGGTGGGGACCATGTTAATTAATCAATATTAAAAAATAATTAATCTCCAAAAAAGTCAAATCAAAATTTCACTTGGTTGCGGGAAAAAGGAAATTTGACAAATAAAATAATGACTGACATCAGCAGGAGGCTAAACATCGGATGGTTTCCGAGAATAGACTGATGACGTGGCGACATCATTGGTGGCTGTACTTTGATCATGTCAGAATAATAACGGCTGGCATGGGCGTGATGACACAAACCTTCTTTGAATCTTGACAGGCGAGGGATTTGTTCTTGTACAACAGAGCGTTGTTAATCCCTCGGAATCTGATTGTGAAAAACGGCGCTGATTTCAAGGCAGGTTTTTGTCAGCAAACGTTCTTTGACACTATTTAAAATTGCGTATTATCAATGACAGAATTTTACTCAATACAATTGATCTTATAAACATTAATTCAACGAACATACTGGAAATTAAGCCCATGACATTAATTCATTGAGATTTCTCTCTAATTTGTAGCGCATTTTCATTTTCCAAACCCAGCTGAATTCCCTGGTTTTACCCATCTTTAATCCTGTTTGAAATGGAGTTTTTGAGAATTTCACCTTTTAAAGCCTTGACAGAGATAGGATTTAACCATGGTGAACTCTAACTCTATCCTCTAGTAACCCCACAACCTCCACTGAACCCTTTAAATTGGACTGCTCCCTCCTCTTTGTTTCCCATCTATCTTCTAGCTCCAGCTTCAACTTTCTTCTTTTCCTTTCACTACCAGCTCTCAAAATCTCTGGTATAGTTTTCAGTTTTGTTTATTTTTTATTTGTCTGTACGGTATTAAAATTGATTGTGGAAGGCTTACTCTATTTGTCTATTGTCGTTTTTAGAGAGAAGGTATGGCGACAAATGGAGTGCCGATGCCAAGGAGTCCTTTGGCGAGGATTCTGACGGACAAGAAGGGAGACGGGATCTGTCACGATGACAGTGGGAAAGCCGTTAGGGCTCAGACGATCGACGAGCTTCACTCTTTGCAAAAGAAGAGATCCGCGCCAACTACGCCTCTGGAAGGGGCCCAAGGTGTCTTCGCTACCTTGTCCGAGGACGAACGCCAGAGGCAGCAGCTACAGTCCATCAGGTACACATTGCAAGTGCAGCACCGATTATTAAATAATAAACATAATCGTCCGGTGACGATGATCATAATAATCAATTAATATGAATTTCATCATTTTTGTTGGATTTTGATGTGGGACCCACTGTTTGAATGTCGTGAAACGGATGCGGTACCTTCAGAAGCGTTTTCCGTTCTTCCTTCCTCTGTTGATTTCCCTCCAGAATCCGACGATCCAAATACGAAATTATCGTTGCAATTTGTAAAATTATAGTTTCAACAAGGGTTTATCTGTCAGTCACATGAAAAAACCCGTAGGAGATTTTTTGTCCGGCAGATAGTGATTAGTGATTTTTTTAATTGATCTTTAAACAGTGCATCTTTGGCGTCGTTGACGAGAGGGACGGGGCCAAAGCTGGTAAGAGGAGATCCGGCAGCGAAGAGCGCTCAAGCAGTTTCGCATGTGGCGCACCACCACCATGTGGAGGCGCCTACCATTAGCGTTAGTGATAGTTCACTGAAATTCACCCATGTCCTCTACAACCTCTCCTCTGCAGGTAACACAGTTCATAATTAATGTAATTTTTATGAAATTATACGTATGAATGAATATCTGGGTATTTTATGGGTGCAGAGTTGTACGAGCTGGCTATAAAGTATGAGAAAGGGTCCTTTATTACATCGTCCGGTGCGCTAGCCACCATGTCAGGAGCCAAGACCGGGCGGTCTCCCAGAGACAAGAGGGTTGTTATCGATGAAACCACCCAGGATGAGCTTTGGTGGGGAAAGTAAGTGTGCATAACACTAATAATTTATTTTATGAATTATAGTGGGAAATTAAATTGACAATTGGGGGAATTGCTTGGTAGGGGCTCACCAAACATTGAAATGGACGAGCACACCTTCATGGTGAACAGGGAAAGAGCTGTTGATTACTTGAATTCCCTGGACAAGGTGAATTTCTTTTAAGACGTTGCTTTCACGACGTTTATTTATCATAATCTAAAATATTAATTAATAATAAAGAGATCCAAAAGTATTTTTTATGAACCATAAAACATAAAATATCACCCTTTCCAGCTTACCCTCTGTTCCTGTTGTGAAGTATCTACATATATAGGCTGCTAAGCTCTCTCTCTAAACAGAAGAAAATAATGTAGATATGAAATTGTCCTAATGGTAGAATAGTAAATTAGCCCGATATCAATTTCTTCTTCTAGTCACCTTTGACTTTGCCTACCTAAATGTTTGTTTGTCGTAAAGTTAGGTGAGTGGAAACGAGGCTCCATTTAAGGATCACGCAATCCTCAGGTCCTCTAGTTTTTTTTATATTTATTTTTCAAAAAAAAAAAACTTAAATTACTAGATTTCATCTTACTTCCTTGTTCAAATTCGGGTCGCGAAAGAAATAAATCACCTTAAATTATTGGCACCACTAAATAAATTCTAACTTTTTATATTGACGAATTAAGAGTTTTTGAATAAAAATACTATATTCAAAAAGAATTTTAAAAAATAAAAAGAGGCTGAGTTTTATTCTTCTGTCGATTTATTTTCCAAACATATAGTATTTTGTATTACTTTATATACATATAGTTTAGATTCTTTCCTTGCTTTGTTTTTGAGGCAGGCAGGTCAAGGGAGAAAATGGAATAACATCTTTGTTTGATAGTTTGCAGTTAATTATTATATACATAATAATGATGTGTGGATCCTAGTTGTAATACTGTAACATATTCCTTTCAATATTACATTATTTAACCCGGATTAATTAGTTAAAGATTAGATACCAATAATTATATAAAAAGTAAAATCATGAACTATTTAAGATTACTTGGCCCATGAACAATCGTCTATGTGGTTATTTATTGATCATCTTTTGATGAATTCGGATCAGTGGTAATTGGATGTAAATGATTTTCCAGGTTTTTGTGAATGATCAATTCTTGAACTGGGATCCACAGAACAGAATTAAAGTCCGGATTGTCTCTGCTAGAGCTTATCATTCACTGTTTATGCACAACATGTAAGTAAAAGCTAAGCAATCTGAAAATGTCCTATATCTTCCGGTCTTGTTTGTGTTTTCACAGGTCTTAGCCTAGCCCAGATAAGTTTCTTTATCGTTGTCATGATGTTAATAATTATATGCATAATTTGTTGAGCTTTATCATCCCCATAAAAATCCATGGAGGAATTAAGATAAAAAAAGACTGGTAAAAAAACCTTTAGTGTACAAAATGGATGAATTGTGGGTGGGTGGCAGGTGTATCCGACCCACTCTTGAAGAGCTGGAGAATTTCGGTACTCCGGACTTCACTATATACAATGCTGGACAGTTCCCTTGTAATCGTTATACACACTATATGACATCCTCCACTAGCATAGACCTAAATCTTGCTAGGAGGGAAATGGTCATCCTCGGCACACAATACGCCGGGGAAATGAAGAAGGGTCTTTTCGGTGTTATGCATTATCTCATGCCTAAGCGTCAAATCCTCTCCTTGCATTCTGGCTGCAATATGGGAAAAGATGGAGATGTTGCCCTCTTCTTTGGACTGTCAGGTATAGTATCGTCGGATCGAGGTCATCGATGTGGTGTTAGTCCCCAAAACGATATGTGTCCTCTTACTTTGTTGTTGGAGCCTTAATAAAATTGTTTGGAAAAGGATTTATGTCCTTTTTCTTACCTTGGTTTTGCATTTCTTTTTTCTAATGCGTGTACTTCAATAACTTTGTTAATAGGTACCGGCAAGACTACGCTGTCTACCGATCACAATCGGTTTCTGATTGGAGATGATGAGCACTGTTGGAGTGACAATGGTGTGTCAAACATTGAAGGTGGTTGCTATGCTAAGTGCATTGATCTTTCAAGGGAGAAGGAGCCTGATATCTGGAATGCCATTAAGTTCGGCACAGGTGAAAATTCCGTTCTTCGATTTTTTTAGATTGATTTTTACGTGGAATCCAATCATAATGCTTGGTTTAATTTCTTAATTTTTTTTTTTGGTTCTGCAGTGTTGGAAAACGTAGTGTTTGATGAGTATACAAGAGAGGTTGATTATGGAGAAAAATCAGTTACAGGTATAAATTATCAAGACACGTCAGAAGAAAAATAGATCATAAATAAGGTTTCAATGCCAAATTCGTTGATGTCAACAATTTGGTAGAGATGAATGACCATGAAATCAGGATGGAGTGGGGAGATATAATAATATGCCCAACATTCGACAGTGAATCATTCTTACACATGATATTCACCATGGTTTTCTTTGCTTGCAGAGAACACTCGAGCAGCCTACCCTATTGAATACATTCCCAACGCCAAGATACCATGCGTTGCACCGCACCCTAAGAATGTCATCCTTTTGGCATGTGATGCCTTCGGTGTCCTTCCGCCTGTGAGCAAGCTGAGCCTGGCACAAACCATGTACCATTTCATTAGTGGCTACACCGCGCTGGTATGTTCCTATGTCCAATTAGAAAATGGTTTTTGATGCCTTTTTTTTCTTTTCCGTGACTTAATTGCTCATACAAGTTTTGGGGTTCTTGCATCTAGGTGGCTGGCACAGAAGATGGTATTAAGGAGCCAACAGCAACATTCTCAGCTTGCTTTGGCGCAGCATTTATCATGTTGCATCCTACAAAGTATGCAGCAATGCTTGCCGAGAAAATGCAGAAGCATGGGGCAACTGGATGGCTTGTCAACACTGGCTGGTCTGGTGGAAGGTAACAACTTGTTAGAGCAAGCTCCTTTTTGGAATATCATTCAACACTTTTCCTGGAAATATTGAATCAACTGCTCTGCAGCTATGGCACCGGAAACCGTATCAAATTAGCATACACCCGGAAAATAATCGATGCCATCCACTCAGGTAGCCTATTGAATGCAACTTACGAGAAAACCGAGGTGTTTGGGCTAGAGATCCCAACTGAGATCGAAGGAGTGCCTTCGGAACTTCTGCGTCCAGAGAACACTGTAAGCTTAATTTGGTCCATTCTCATTCATTATCAGGGTTGCTCGAATTATCTCCCGATATTAACGTATTAGACTCTTGGATTGCAGTGGGATGACAAACATGCATACAAGAACACACTGTCGAAACTGGCTTGTCTGTTTAAGAACAACTTTGAGACCTTCACTAATTACAAGATCGGCAAGGGCAACAAGCTCACTGAAGATATCCTAGCAGCCGGACCAAACTTTTAATTCAGGAATCAATGACGTTGCGAATAAACCAATGGAATGTGAGAGAAATAAGGGTTGTGTTTGTAACGTACATGCAGACATTAGAGTTAAATTTCATATGTAAAATGGTTTCTTATTATGTAACTCAATGTTCAGCCTTTGATGCTGAAACATTAGTGTTGTTTGCTCTGAAAAAATAGTGTTTCATAATTTTAATGTGAAATTTACTGAAATTCATTTTAAAGATATAAAAGATAAGAAATTCAAGCGTGAAAAAAACAGAAAAGAAAACGTTGCGTTGTGTTGAGAAATGATTGCGTAACCTACGAACAAAAAGATAAACTATAAACAGAAGATCTTTGTTTTAATGTTTTATAATGGCGTTAACAGGTTCCAGAGAAGAAAGCTCTGTTGCTCTACCAGAAGAAATGGCTCCTTCCTCCACCCCAAGGATCCTCCTCCTCCCTGGTTCACTCCCAAACGGTAGTTTTTTATTTTTGAAAAAAAAATCAAATCTTTATTCAAATGTTTTATACTAAAATTATGCTCTCTTTTCTTTTCTTTTTTTCAAAATTTTGCTGAATTTGAATTGCTTAATTAGGGTTAATGAAAGAAAATTGAGGTGGAGATTATTGATTATATATATTTTGGTTTTTCTTTTTGTAGGTTTTTGATTGTAATTTGTGTGATTAACATGATAAATTATGTGGATCTAGGATTCATAGCGAGTAATGGTGTGAATGGGAGTAATAGGACTTGTGATGACAAGGGAATTTGCACACCGGGTAGTGGAATTCAGTAAGATTTTACTCAAATTTGTTTGTTTGATATTTTGGTGCTTCAATTTGGTTTTCATTACAAATGCTTCTTTGATTTCTTAGTATTAGCTTTAATTGTCTTACTGGAAGATGTTCGCTTGCAGGGGGGAGTTTGACTTGACTAATTTTCAAGATGGTCTCTTATCGTCCGCATTTATGGTCGGACTTCTTGTGGCGTCCCCAATATTTGCTTCATTAGCAAAGAGGTGAATTGCATTTCATGGCACTTCTTCTTTGTACTTCTCGAAATTTAAAGTTTTTTCAGACTGCTTTTTTTTTGTACACTGCCATGTTAAATACCAAGTAAATCGTATTATTTTGATTTTTTAGCTACTGCTATATGTTTGGCTGTTAATTTACATATCAAATTGGTTTACATTGTTAGTTGATTTTCCATGACTGCAGCCACAATCATTTTAGGCTTATTGGAGTTGGATCATCTGTCTGGACCTTTACCACAGCTGGATGTGGTAGTGCATTTTCTTTTTGGTTTATTGCATTATGCCGCATATAAGTATAGCATTCTCGGTAGTACACTCTGGGAGTGGATTGTAGTTCAATCTCACTGAACTAGTTTCTTGTGCTACGTTGTTTTCATTTGTATGTGTGTCTGCGTTTGTTGATTATGGCTGTCTTTGATGTTTTAGGCTGGTTGGTGCTGGGGAAGCTTCTTTCATGAGTCTTGCATCTCCATTTATCGGCGACAATGGTCCTGTTTCTCAGGTTCATTTGTTTTGTTTATTCTTTAACTTGACAACTTACATTGTAATATTCATGCTAATTCATTACAATATTCCAGAAAACAGTCTGGCTTGCTATGTTTTATATGTGCATACCTACTGGAATTGCTCTTGGATGTGTTTATGGTGGATTTGTAAGTTTGTAATCCCTTTCTTTCTTTCTCACTATAAATCGCGCGGTGAATCTCTCTGTACTATCTAGATATCCTCTGCAGGGATGCTTGATGAATCCATAAACTGTGTTTGCTTATCATACAGGTCGGTTGCCATTTTCATTGGCGCTATCTTTTCTGGGGAGAGTCATTGTTAATGCTTCCATTCGCTGCTTTTGGCTTTGTGATGAAACCTTGGCAATTGAAAGGTAATTGTTTTTATTGCCATCTTCACTCAAAGTTTTCTGTCTTATGATCACACAACAATTTAAGTACTGAAAATCGGTGTGACTGAACTTTAAACAATAGGTTTCTCTCTTGTTGGATCAAAGTGTTGAGACGGTTTCTTCTTTAATTGACGGTACATGTTCCTTATCATTCTTCTTGTATTAATTTGTCACTGGTTCCACTATTTAGGGCGAAGTTGTGGGTGAGACGCACGTGCTATGTATATATGCTGTATGCATGTCAAACGTAAAAGGTATTGAATAAGAATTGAAGGACTAGAAAGAAAGTGTTAGGTTATCCCTTTTAGCCTAAATTAGATTATTTTTATTAACCTTGTGCAACTCACCCTGTTTCTATTATGAATGTAGTACGTAAGTGATTCAGCGTGTATCTAGGGATGCATTCAAATAGATGTAATTCCTGGACCCTGCTGTAAGACAAATATCATTATTCTCCACGTTCCATAATTAATCTCTGGATATGCTGTAGAAGTTGTGTGTATTTAGGTTTTTTCTTTTTTGGGTATACTCCTGTTCTTACACCCCTACTTTGTTCCTAATGAAGCTGTTACTAAATCTTTAAACCAGTGTGCATCTTATATAATTGCTACGGCAAATGTGGCGGTTCTAAGGGATTCAAATGTGTTGGGTTGGTTCACCCTCTTGCCAACTGAAATCAAACACAATGTAGTCAGTTTTGAATGAAATTAGGCAAAATAGTGGGTTTCTAAACCCATACAGAACCCAACCAAAACTTCTGGTTTCCTGGTTTGAGACAAAACTGGACCAGAAAATTTCACATGCACTACAAGCGTAGAATTTAACCAAAAAAAGGTTCACAAGTTCGTTTCTTGTACTAAGCTGGCCTGCCAGCTGGTAAAGTTCCCTTTTTTACGTCTAAATATCTCTTGTTATTTTAAGTCTAACTTATCTTAGTTGCAGATTCAGAGGCATCAAAACTAGATGATCCTATTTTGGTTGGGGCTGACGGCATCAGTGCGGATGAATTGAAGAAAACTTCCAAGTGAGTGGTTAACTCATGACTTTTATGGCGGCAGTATTCCTTATGGTATGGCAAGCTGCTTCAAAACAATGCTTACTCTTTACTCAGAGACCTTAATCGTGGTTAGATATTGTATGGAAGAAAAGGGAAAGAGTAATCAAATCAGAAAGATTAAAAGGAATGCTAATTAGTTGGGCTTTAGGACTCCAGTTGAATTAAGAATGTTACACACATTTGGGTCACCACTCTTCTGTATAATGTACCCAACAGTCTTATTAACAATAGGCCTCTAGTCAGAAAGTGGGAAAAGTAGGAATGACTGCTATGACTTGGGAGATAATGACGATTGGCACATGTAAAATGCACAAAACAAGGAAAAGTTAAAGATAATTGGGTAATAGCCAATCTTTGATTGAGTTCTTAATCTATGGTATCCTATCACTTGGCTGTAGGGAATAGACTGGTGTTTGGTTTGTGTCCTTGGTTGAAACAACTATATTGCAGCCTGTTTCGGTGATGTTAAAAAGACATGTAAAACTGGATTAGTTTTACGGCTATGTAAAAACTCTTCCTTTATAATTTTAATGTTTATAATTCATTTCATTCCATATCCTGATTTAGGACTGAAACATTTTATTTGCAGGCCAGATAACATTCACAACATATTGAATCAGGTTTCTCTATTTGCAGAAGATATGAAAGCGCTTTTTGTTGACAAAGTTTATATCGTAAATATTTTTGGTATTTTCTTGACACTCTTCATATCCATTTCAGTAAATGCAGCGAGAAACAAATGCTACATGCGTTTTTTTATTTTTTTTTTCACACAATTGCATATCAAATTTTCTTAAATTTTGTCTGGCAGGTTACATTGCATACAACTAGGTCATTGGAGCATACTCATATTGGGGGCCAAAGGCCGATTCTAATATTTATCATATGGTACAATTTCTGACAAATTACTTGCATTCTGTTTTCTATCAAAAACTTTTCCTTTTAGCATTTTCTTTCTAACACCATAAAGAACCACATGACTACCTCATGTTTTGGAATTGTACTTTGCAGAACAATGCAAACATTTTGTTTGGAGGGATTACGATAGTTTGTGGGATTTTAGGAACATTATCCAGTGGCTTTATACTAGATCGCATGAGTGCTACAATATCTAATGCTTTTATTGTGAGTTTTGTTTCTCTTTGATGATGTTTTATGTATTTTTTTTAATAACATGCTTATTGGGAACAAAATGTTCCATTTGGTTAGGGCAAAATAAGTTGATAAAAAGTGCAAGTTTCTTAGAGAAATTAAACTAAAAGTGGTATTCACTGTTATTTTGCCTAATGCAACCTCTGAGTTAATAAACAACGGATGGATATAGCCATATACGATTCTGTTAATGTAAAACTACCTTCCTCCCTATCACTTTCTTTAAATCCAAACAGCTGAAGAAAGATTGCAACCAGATAATAGAAGGAAAAAAAATTGCAACCATATATCGGGTACCTTACTCTATTTCCAGTTGAAACTAACAATTAGCTATGAATTTTGGTCAGAAATTATCTTCTTTCGGTCGCTGTCTATAGCATTATTTATGGGTTATTTCTTTTATGACAGCTTCTTTCAGGGGCTACCTTTCTGGGTGCAATATTTTGCTTTATTGCTTTCTGTCTCGGGAGCTTGTATGGTTTCATAGTTCTTTTTGCAGTGGGAGAATTAATTTTTTTTGCAACACAGGTAAAATAGAAAAATAGTGTGCTAGATTTATGATCTTGTGTTTTCCCCCCAAATAATTTTATGTACTTGTATTTGTAGATGAGTAGGAACTCTCGCCCTTTTTCAGTTAGCTTCATTTGGTAAAAGATGCAGAGGAAGATCTAATTTCAAGTTATGCCATGTGTTTTATCAAATTGCTTCACAGAAGCTGTAGCATATTATTTTGTAGAAATTGAACCACACTTTTCATTTGATAATGGAAAATGTGTTTCTGGTTCAGATCTGACTTTGTAGTGAATACATTGGCTCTTGAGTGATATTTTATGATTTTAGACTAATATCATGTTATACAATTTTAATAGTGTTTCTCATCATACATTGATTTGCAGGCTCCGGTGAATTATGTAAGTCTCCATTGTGTCAAACAAAGTTTGAGACCATTATCTATGGCTATCTCTACCGTCAAAATTCACATATTTGGTGATGTGCCTTCCTCGCCACTCGTTGGGGGTCCTCCA